CTAAAATGTCAAGTCTGGTGGCACAAGGTATTCTGATACAAGTAGAGGAGTAGAGAACTCTTCTCGTGAAATATTTCTGGACTTTTTCGACTGTATTAACATCCGATATGTAATGTGGGTTCCAGACTGATGAGCTGTATTCAAGTATTGGTCTAGCAAATGTTTTGTATGGTCTAGTTAATAGTTTGATATTACCAGAGAAAAAGCTACATAGGATTAGGTTAACAACTCTTAATGCCTTTTTGGCTATGTAGATACAGTGGGCTCTAGCACTTAGATCATTAGAGATGAGTACTCCAAGGTCCTTGACATAATTGGGATCATCAACAAGGTCTTGACTATTCAGCTGTATTTTATTCTGATTTATTTATTTTTTGCCAATATGCAAGACAGAGCATTTGTTTGTTGAGATTTGAACCTGCCATTTGTTTGACCATGTTGTGGCATTGTACTCATGAATGGCAGCTCCATGAGCTTCATCATACTGGTGCAGCTGGCATCCTGCTGTGAGCACCTGCGCCAGTGTATCCAAACTCGCAGTGGTGCCAGCGCCTGCATGTGCAATGGCACAGCAGTCCCTGTAGGGTTTTGCTTGAAGAGGCTGTGCCGATGTGATGAACCTCACAGCAATGCCGCTGTTTGCATGCGCAATACTACAACAAGCCTTGCAGAGCCTTGGGATATGCTGAAGGCTTGGAGTGGAGCCATTTTTGCAAAAGGCAGGAAAATGGGGGGAGAGAGGGAGCTTGAGGAATGGATGACAGGCAGGAAAATTCCCCTCCCCATTTTCCTGGGGAAAGTTTTGGAATGGAGGCTTTTTGGAGAACGGGAGGAAAATGGGGAGGAGTTTTCCTGCCTGCCATTCTTTCCTCAGTCCCTGTTAAGCCTGAGGAATAGCTCCTTTCGGTCACTAAAGAAGCAGCCCGGTGGAGAGGCAAGGCGCGTGGTCATGCCACATCTTCATGGTGGGCATCCATTAGCTTCATGTATGGGTCGGATGGGTTTGAAGAGGGTAGTGATGTAGCTGCGGTACGGCTTCTGGTCCGTGGTCATGTCTCATCATCTGTGTGGGTATGGGTCTGCTTTCTACGTGGAAGTGTGGTGGTAGCATCTTGTGTGGCCCTCGTGGGTGTGGGTCTGGTGTCATTCTTCATGTTAGGTACTCGTTTGTTAATGAGGGTGGGTTTCCAAATGGCTGGTAGGCGGGAGGTATCATCTCGTTTATTCATGCTGTGTAGGGGGTTTTCTATCTCTATGGCTTCTCTGATCATTCTGTTGTTGAAGTGTTCAATTTTGGCGATAGTTCTGGTATTTTTAAAGTCAATCTCATGTCCTGTGGCTTTGAGGTGTTGGACCAGGGAAGAGTTCGGTTCTTTTTTGATTGAGTTCTTGTGTTCTTCAATGCATGCACTTATTCTTCTGTTGGTTTGTCCGATGTATGTGGTAGGGCAGGCGGTGCATGGGATTTCATATACTCCTTGGTTTTCTAACTTGATTCTGTCTTTAGGGTTTCTTAGGATGGTGGATATTTTTCTGTTTGTGCATTCTGCACAACCCTGATGCCCTTTAGAAGGCCAGATCAATACTTTGGCCACCTAATGAGAAAGAAGGACTCACTTAAGAAGAGCGTAATGCTGGGAATGATTGAGGACAATAGAAGGGGACAAGAAAATGAGGTGGCTGGAGTCACTGAAGCAGTAGGCATGAGCTTAAATGGACTCTAGAAGATGGTAGAGGACAGGAAGGCCTAGAGGGACGTTATTCATGGGTCGAGATGGGTTGGACACGACTTTGCAACAATATTGCTATCATGCCCCTCCAGTCCTTTTTTCTCTAGACTAGCCAAATCCAAATCCTGCAACCATTCTTCATGTTTTTGTCTCCAGGCCTTTAATCATCTTAGTTGCTCTTCTTTTCACTTTTTCCAAAGTCTCAAAATCCTTTTTGTAATGTGGTGACCAAAACTGGATGCAGTATTCTAGGTATGGTCTTACTAAGGGTTCATAAAGCGGCACTAATACTTCATGTGATTGTAATTCTATGCCTCTGTTTATACAACCAACAATTCTATTAGCTTTTTTGACTGTTGTTGCGTACTGCTGACTTGTATTTAAGTGATCATCCACTAGGACTCCAAGGTAACTCTCACAGTTACTATTTTTGAGCCAGGTTTCACCTAAGCATACTTGTACCTTTGGTTTTTCCTGCCCATGTATAAAACCATGCTTTTTATCTCATTAAATTTCATTTGTTGAGTACAGTCTATTGTTCAAGCCTGTCAAGATCTTTTTGGATCCTGAGCTTATCTTCTGGGGTATTGCCTATTCCTGCCAGTTTAGTGTCATCTGCAGATGTGACAAGTATCCCCTTCTATTCCATCATCTAAGATAGTGAAGAGTATTGGGCCTAAGATGGTATCTTGTGGTACCCCACTGCTTATTTACTTCCATGTAGATGTAGTACCATTAAAGACTATTCTTTAAATACAGTTTGTCAGCCAGTTATAAATCCATCTGGTGATGAGACTGTCTATCCCACATTTTTCTAGCTTATCAAGAAGAAGGTTGTGGTTTACTTTGTCTAATGCCTTGCTGAAGTCTAAACATACTATGTTCAGCATTTTTCTGGTCTACTAATTTGGTCACTTTGTCCCAAGAATGAAGTAAGATTGGTTTGACGTGATCCATTTTTAACCAGAAAAAAGCAGTTACTAGTTATAATTTTATTTGTTTCTAGATGTCCACAGATCTGTTTTTTTATTACTTTTTCCAGTATCTTCCTAGGTATTGTTGTTAGGCTGATTGGTCTGTATAAGGTGTAAATAATACAGAACTCAGGTCCCATTGTTTCCCCAGATATCTTTGTCCATGTCTTGCCTTAAAAAGTTAAATTGGAAACTAGCATGCTGTAAAGCAAAACACTAAAATGGCCTTCTCTAATAAGATGCATTGCAGATGGGTTGGATTGCAAGAATCAAAATTTTTAGCCAAGTGATTGTTAATGAATTCTGGAAATTAAAATCCTAAACTACTAAAGTCCTAAATGTAGTTTCAAATGCCATAAACTATTTCCATACATCTAAAGATAGCATTGTTTATGAAAATAATTACCATAGTGCATCTGGGAAAAGTGATTAATCATTCACTAAGGAATCCAGTTTAATGAGTTTGCAAAACACATTGAACCACAAAGTAACAAGATACACTAAATTTATACAATACAGTAGACTAAATGAGTTGGGTATTTTGTGGTTCTGCTTCCTACGGAGCTTAAAATATAGCCACTTATTCTGGGCTGCAAATATACAGATGAACACTAAGTGGAAACAAAGAGATATAATAACATATATTTTGCTATATAATGAACCAGACTTTTACTATATCTAGATCTTACATGATATTCACGTTTGGGGAAAAACTTTAATCATAGCATCTCAGTTCCCTTTCTGGTTTAAATTCTGACATGAACTATCAATATATACCTTATATTCCTCTGATTTGAATGAGGCTGTAATTCTACTGTGCGTTTCAATATCTACATACTCTAGATTCCCTTTAGATGGCAATTCCTATTCAATCTTAGATGATAGCAAAAATATAAGCAGTCTAATTTGTTTAATACTTGCTAATACTCTACTTGTACAGGATACACCAGTTATAAGAAGCATCAGGTTTAAACTCTTTAGAAAATATAAATGCCCCTGACATCTTTCTATTGGAGAGGATAAAACTAATGTGTTCAACTTCATATGCTTTTTGGATACTGATAAGCTCAGAAACCAAAAATAACTTGACAGACTTGAACAATGGGCCCTATCCAACAAAATGAAATTTAATGTGAAGAAAAGCAAGATTTTACAATTAGGGAAGAAAAATCAAAGATACAAGTACAGATTAGGGGAAATCTGGCTGAAAAACAGGGAGGGATTTGAAGTCCTAGTAGACGATCATTTAAATATGAGCCAGCAATTGCAGCAACAACCAAAAAAGTTAATACAATCCCTGGTTATATAAACAGGGGCACAGAGTCAAGATCATGTGAAGTATTAGTACCGCTTTATAAAACGTTAGTAAGACCACACCTGGAATACTGTATTCAATTTTGGTTATCACATTACAAAAAAGATGTTGAAACTTTGGGGAAAAGTATAGAAGAGAGCAACTAAGATGATTAAATGCCTGGGGACTGAAACAGATGAAGAATAGTTGCAGGAATTGGATATGGCTAGTCTAGAGCAAAGAACAACTAGGGGTGACATGGTAGCAGTGTTCCAGTATTTGGGGGACTGTCACAAAAAGGGGGTGGGGGGGCTTATTTTCCAAAGCACCAAAGACAAGACAAAAAATAATGGATGGAAACTAATCAAGGAGAGAAGCAACCTGGAATTAAGGAGAGACTTCTTAAGTGAGAACAATTTAACTAGTGGAACAGCTTGCTTTCAGAAATTGTAGGTGTGTCATCACAGGAGGTTTTTAAGAAGAGATTGGACAACCACTTGTCTGAAATGCTATAGGATCTCCTGTTTGAGCAGGAGGTTGGACTAGAAAATCTCCAAGTCCCTTCCAACTCTATTCTTTATGTATATGCAATATAGCTGAATACTGGTGACTATGAACTTTGCCAGCCAAATTAGCATTTGAGCTACGGTGAAGCCTCAGAAGATCCATGATTTATTTTTAAGTCCAGGTGTAAAACCTGACAGTAGATTAAATTGATTTTTTTTAAAAAAAACCCTAAGAATGCAACAGTAAAAAACTCCTAAGTGAGAAAAAGCAGTAATTCCTACCACTTGTCGCTACTTCTTTTGGAGACAAGATTTTTTGAGACCTAATTACCGCTAAATTAAAAGGTTATATTCATACTACCGGTATTTTCTGTTGAGAATTATCACAATCACACAAGGCTATTTTTTTTTTTCTACCGAAGCGTACATCTCCAATCCTTACACTTTTTCGAACTTCCGCCGCCGGAGCACTGCGCATGTATATTAATTCGCGGCTGCGACTTCGGACGGGTTATGACCTAAGATGGCGGCGCCCTGCGCTTTTGAGCCTTGGCTTGAGAGTCGTCTCGAGGCCCTTGGATTAGATGGAGATGTGTACGGTGGATATATACGAGGAGTATTGCGGGAAGCGGAGTGCGATGCAGAGCGGTTGGAAGGGCTGGCAGGGGCCTTGGCTGCTGGGGAATCGGTGAGAATGACGCCAAATTGGTCCTGGCCGGCTTCCGTAGCTATTTTTTTCCCCTTCCTCTTTCCCTCCGTACTTCCCCTCATATGACACTATCAAAATGGATTTCCTATCTTTTCTAGCTTCGAGGGTATATTTTATTCGTATGTATAAAATGTATCAAAAATGCGCATGAAGAATTCCAGGAACAGCTAGGTATATAGGGGTATTGAACCGAGTGTAGTTTTAATTTTTATCTCTATTTCTTATTCACGCAAAGCATCTCGAGATGACAAGTTATGTTGTCAAATCTGGGTTCAAATTTTGTTTATTCCTAGTGTTTATTGAATGGGTTTAAGTCTCTTATTAAATATCCTCATTGCTTACATTACAAATAGGAGGTTCTACTCTTCTGTCCTTGATTTCGTTAAGATTGTTCTTAAGTGTTTTGAATTTAAGTGGATGGGGAATCCAAGTAGAATCCAGAAAGGGTCAATTGACAGGTTTTGTGGTGAACCTAAGCTGCAGCAATCAATATTTGTTAGTTTTGTATCACCAGATATGAAAATCAAACAGCAAGTGAAAAATCAGAAACAACTACTTGTCATTATCTTCTGCCATTTGTTTAAATACAAGCATAAAGAGAACTTTTCAGGCAGCTGGGATGGACACATTTATACAATAAGACACATCAGAATTTTCAAAAGCCAAAGTCTAGAGCAATTAGGCTTTTTGTATGACATTAACTGGGTCTAGATGGAGAGGTACAAGTTTTTCTTTGCCCCTAGCTTTGCCTACCATTGCAAAGATGCCATATCAAGGGCTAATTGTGGAAATCAATGTATGCAATGTATAAACCTATTTCTAGTTTTATAATTTTTGTTTCATAAAATACAGATTTAAACTTTATTTTACATTGGAAAAAAAGATTGTATTGTATTTTGAAAAGTCTTAATGTAACTAAGTTTATTGTTGCAACCACAGGTCATTCCATATAATGAGCCATAAACTACAGTAGCAGTAAAATAGTTTAGACTGTAACAGTAATAACAAGTATTAGATTTAAAAAGGGCACAGAAAATAAAGCCAAGACTATCACTAAGAATGTATGCATTTCTTTTTATGGTTAAAGGATAAGAGAACAAAAATAGTAACTTGGCTACTGACAATTGGAAACATATCTGCAAGAAAATAATTCATTTTTTTGAGATTGGAACTGTGAAAGTTATTTATCAACCAACTTTAGAAACCACCCATCTCACTTTAAGAATATGTTAGTCTTTTTGGTTGCCTCAAACTTTTTGAGTCTCTTAGGTCTCAGGACTACAATTCAAGAATGTTTTCTCTTGCTTTCCACTAAAAAAAAAAGCCAGTAACACACTAGCTTGTTTTGTGGCGATGCTGCAATCCTATATCAATGTATTTCCATTGAATAAGTGGGTCTTGCATTCATAGCCTACCATCTGCTTTTATGCAACTGTTTAAAAATACTTTCTTGTGACTCACAAAATTTTCTTGTTCTGGTAATCTTATATTTATTCTATTTTTCTCCTGTTATAATTCATATGATTCAGTTTTTATTAGGAAACAATTTAAATTGGTCCATACTCTAAAATATAATTCTGTTTATGAACTGATTCCTTCGCGAAATGATCAGACTCTGTGATAAAGTTGGCATCAACTATCATTACGAGCTTCCCAATTAAGACACACTTTCTACCATTGGTAATGTAATAATTACATAATTATAAAAAACTGCATAAATTTGCATGTTAGTGGATTTCAGATTACAGACCATAGAGAATTATATTTTTAATTTAGGTAAGATTTTCTTGATTCAACTGAGTAATTTCTCTGTTCTTTATCAGGATGAAGATGTATTACAAGAAGTTTGTAAAGAAATAATTAAAAAATGGTCAGAGGCACAATATGTTGAAATCAGTGAGAAGAAAGAAGGTATTAAATGACAGTCTTTGTGGTACTCAAGTTGTTGCATGAATTGGAATATTTTTGCATGATTTTCACTACAAAAATTACTTTTTATCCCCTTGTATTGTTTTTTCCAATTCTGATTTCATGGCATAGGCTTCTGTATTCAACTGTGCAGTCTCTTATTTTTACTCTATTTCATTTTATTTTTCATTGTTTTTATTTTTATTAATAGTTTTATCTTGCTGGAATTTTTAATTTATTTCATCTGAGGCTGTAAATAAAGTTATTGTTATAATTTTGACTTTTTAAACATTGCATTCAAATTGGAGGAAATACTGATTTCTGGAAAGCGTCATGTTCATATGCAAAAAAAACGAGGACTTCCTGGTGGACTTGTAATTATTTATTCTTGCTTTCCTCCACAGATGAGATCCAAGCCATCACGAACATAATTGAAAAGCAAGCACAAATTGTTGTGAAACCTAAAGAGATCTTGAAGGAGGATACACTTCAGAAAGCTGCTCTCCTGGCACAATATGCTGAAGTGACAGATGATGAGGAATATCCTTTCTCTGCTGCAAGTCCTGAAAATGTCTATTCTTTAGCTGGCTCGTTCAGTGACTCGGGGTTGAGGTGAATTGTATTCCTTGGTTAACTATTTTTTTGTTATAACCTGCTCTGTGTTATAAATTTAGGGTAGAACATATGGAAGAACTTTAAATATGGGTCAGAGCAAAGATACTCCATGATGACTGGACAGGGATAATTAATAACCAACTGTGGTTTAATCAGAAAGAAGATTCTCATTCTACCATCTATTTAACATACATTATCTTTATGATTATGTCAGAATTAATAAGGGCTGTATACCCATATGATAGGTATTATTGAAGTAAGCAGGAAGTTACTTCAAAATAATTTAAATGACTTCAGCATGGATCAAACACACTCATGTTGGTAAGTTCTTTATTTTAGCCATGGTACTTTGGTATATAATGTTCTATATTCATAGGAAATCTCTGGTTAATAGATACCAAGAATAAGTGAAGGTTGAAGATACCTATATTGCCATACTTGATGAAAGAAAAACTGCAGGCAAATATTTTGGATTATTTCAGTAGGGGAATGGAAGATTATTTCTGGTCTCTTAATTATTTTTTCATGGTAGGCAATAGTCATGAAGCATCTTACATAGGCATTTAGTACATTTGTTCATATTCCCAATATTTTATTATCCTTAACTCAGTACACTGAAGTAAATGTACATGAAGATTTGGGAGCAGCAGCAATGCCTATTGCTTCTAACAAATGTATCCTTTGTAGGGTGTCCCTTGAAGCTAAATTTGGTCATTCTTGGAATAATAATAGAGAAGCATATTGTGTCAATAGTATAATATTTTAAAGGGTGTTGAGTCTCCAGAGGAGAATCTTGGGTAAAGAATGAAATTTCAATTATTATAGGAAAGATTTTCTTACTTACAATATTCCAGCTTGTTTCACTGTCTTCCTAATGAGTTAATTGATTAGGTACAGATCATGCAGCAGCAGCTATTTTCTTGATAATTTCTGTTGCATCTTCTACTTTATTAAATGTTTTTATTTTTCTTTATTTCACTTCAGAATAAGCTTAGTAAATTGAGAAATAGTTACATTTTTTCTCTGAGAAATGCAAGTCTGAATTGATATTTGAATGCTAAATCTCATTTTCCATAGAACCATGTTGAATTGATTTTTCTTCAGGTTATATTCTGTTTCTATGGCTTAAGGCTGTGTTGCAAGTATGTTTAGACAAAGTCAGAACTTTATGTGCTCAAAAGGTTTGTTCTCCTCAACTCTCTGTTAGCTTTGTTCAAAAATACAAACCTGGAAGACGTTATGAATGCTCGTAAGCTGGAGAGAGAACATCTACGGGATGAATCCCAGCGAAAGAAAGAACGGGACAAAGTCCAGCGGGAGAAAGACAAATTGACTAAGCAAGAACGCAAGGAGAAAGAGAAGAAGAGGACACAAAAAGGCGAGAGGAAACGGTAGCTAATAACAGCTGCTGGACTTTCTTCCCCTCCATTATCTAAAAGATAGCACAGCATGCATGTTCAGAGTGATCAAGCAGATAAGCTTTGAACATTTTTCTTTGTTTTTCCAAAGCAGCAGCATGTACTTGGCAAGGTTTGCAGGGAGAGGGGATGTTTTCTCTCTCATGATAAAAACTTTGATTTAAAATTTTCCATATATAATTTTGCTGTCCAAGAATTTGGCTGAATTGTCACAGCCAAGATCTATAACCAAAGAACTGGTGACTTTTTGTTTTTCTTGTCATTTTCTGCTCTTAAGTATTTTCACTTCTATAATATTCAGTCTACCCAGAGGATTCTTATAAGTGATAGAATTGTTGAGGAAAAATCCAGTTTGCTACATGGATTTGTCAAGAAGAGATAACACGCCATGATGGGTGTATAAGGTTGGATTTAGCATAATGCTGTAAACATCTGACATCAAATGTGAGAGAACATATTTCTTTTGTTCAGGATTGGCCTAATAAATGTATACATTACTTCAGCAAAACTGTACTGTGACTACCTTAGGTAACATGCTTGACTTCCTGCTCCATACATTCTTTTTTTTTTTAAGTAAAATTTTATTAATTTTCAAAAAAAAAAAAGTACACAAACAAAACATAAGACATAAGAACATAAGATATCTTTTCCAACAACTACTTAACAAAACAAATAAGACATCTCATTTAAGTACAATATAATTCTAAATTATCACATTTCCACACATAACTTAATAAGCATCTTATATATTCAACTTCATATCTTATTACTGTTTTCCACCTTCTTACTGTTTCTTCCTTTATTTCTATTCAGTTTTATTCATTCATATATTTCATCTTACTATATTTCATATTGTTACTATTTCATATGTTCTTATCCAATATTACTCCTCAATAAGCAAATATAGACTGACAAACACATAACAAAAAAAATAGAAAACTTCTTTTTAGAAAGCGGCTTAACCCCGGGTTATAACTTTTGGTACAGACTTAAATTAAATTCATGCTCAGCTTATATACTATTTCATATCCTGTTAAAGATTCTACATTTTACAAATATCTTCTCCCCTCTTTTCACTCTCTTAATTCTACTTTATTTATTTAATCTCAATTTAAATCATTTCACTTGTATTTTTTGTCCGTTCTTTTTCAATCATCCATTTATCTTTCTCTTAAACACAATCTTGTCCCTGTAATAACTGGTTGAAGTATGACACCTTTCTATTTTCCCCCCAAATTCAACGCTTAAAATTAAACATTATTTCTATTCTGATTCTGCTTAGTACATTCTAAATAACATTTTAGAATAAAAACAAACAAACATAATATTCTTATAGATATTAAAAATAGTATTCCCTAACAAATTAGTTAAATACACATCAATTACACAGTCCCTACAATATTTTATTGACACATATTTCAAATACAAATAAAAAATGCAGTCTTGTGTACCTTTGCAGAATCTCTATTGAGATTTTATTTTACCCTTTGTCTCTGAAAAAAAATTGCTTATAAACAAAACAAACAACATCTTGTTTAAAGTCCTTATAACTTCCCTTCGCTTTGTCTCTTCCTTCCTTGTCAAATCTAGCCTTTTTACCCCCCCCCCTCTCAATCTCCCACTTTTTAATCTCCCCTCTCTGTTGCATGCCTCTTTTCCATTGCTTTCTATCATTATATCGATTTTTCACCTTTCTTTTCCCTTTCTTAATTGTTTTTTTAGAGCTTAAATTCTTGATTTTCTTCTCCTTTTTACCCTTTTTTGAAATCATATGTCTATTAAAGATGGCTTCTTCTTCATCGTCCCAGCCTCTTTCTTGTTGCATTTCCTGGTAAGCACAAATCGCCATTTCTAAAAAGCCAAAGATAGATCCAAAAGAGCCATCTTCCTCTTGTTTTAGTTTTTCAAACTGCATTTTCAATTCTTCAAAAGACACCATTGTGAACAGAAAAGGATTTTTTTTTAAAGCAGTCCAAATGTTTTCTTAGTCTTTCAAAAAAGATAGTTAAAGTCCCAAAGTCATTTGCTCTTCCTGGGGGAGAATTCAGTTACATAATTCCAAGACATTTTTTGGAAGTTTTATTACAGTTTAATCTCTAATCTTATAAAACTCCAAGCAGTCTCCTTCAACAAACGTTAGTATAAATCATTTACCTCTCTTCCTTCCCCCTTAAAGCAAAAAGATTTGAGTTTTAAAGTATCAATATTTGAAAATATAATTTCCCCTTGGCTTCAATTTTGAAAGTTAATACCTTCTATTGCCAATACGGGTGTTTCGGATTTCCATCTGCTGCCTCCGTGGGAAGGAAAGTGAGGAGAAAAAAAAAAGTTTTCCCTTTACTCTTCCACCGCAGCTTAACGATCCTTTGGAAAACAATATATCACTTGAAAAGCCAAAGTTCCAGGGTATTCAGATATTAATTGTTGTCCCGGTTCAGCCAAAAGCTTTCTCTGTTTTTTTTTCTTCCTTCAGCACCCCTCCTGCACAATCTTTTCCCGGATGCCAGCCTCTTCATGGCGGCCATAAGACCGTCGCTGCATCGTCTTGAGAGAAGGAGGTTTAAACTGGGGGGGGGTCTGCGACACCCCCAAACCCCTCCCCAGATCCTCCCTATCTTCGGCTGCCTCTACAAGTTAGCCTTATCCTCCAAATCCATCTGGATCGGAGGCACCAAGACGGTGAGCACAGCGGGGATCGCGAAGGAACGCAAATCCCTGCTGTCACCGAAGCTGGCAAGCGGAAGTGTCGCTCCATACATTCTTTATAATCTACCATATTTATCACGAATGAACACGAAATGAGATCCTTAATGTTTATAAGATACAATGATAATTTTTACCAAATCTCAGATGACTCTTCCATTTTAAAGGCAAAGTATTTTGGAACAAGAAAAAATTTCCTTTTATAGAAATATTGTACTGTATTTGTAGCAGTGAAGTCCTGGCTTAAGTTCTGCTGTAATGCAGAAGCATAGTCACCTTAATTACATAGTGCCTAAAGTTATTGCCTTTGCTTTCCTCTTTATTCTAATAGATGCTCTTAAGCATCTTATTTTATCCTACTACTTATCCCGTTATTGTTTTATAGTGTTAGTATAGCATCAACATTTCAGTACCCAGGATTCTGGCTACTTGATTCCAGACTTGATACAACGAATACTACCCTTGCAGTCACGCTCTTAAATGTTTTAGAGTAATTGCTGTACTTTCCTGATTATCACCTTTTCCTTGCTAGTACACTAATTGATGAATTATTGAAAATTAAAGGCCAAGAACAGAACATCAAGAAAAGCTACATTAAAAGTGCCCCCATTTATTTATTACAATAGGTATTAATTACAACCTTTTATCATTTTGCTTCTTAAAGGAATATTTCTAACATTTTATGGTATAGCCATTGTGACATATACTGTTGGGATTGCTGTATTATGTTTTCTTTACATTTGCAGTGCTAAATTGTTCTGTCTCACCTGTGACCACGAGGTGAGAGTCTAAGTTTCCAAAGGAATATAAATAAACAGACAGGACCAGGAACGACAGAGTTAAATTCCTTTGACTGGAGAAGTCCTTGGCAGTCTTCCAGAAGTTGCCTGCCAAGTCCGATAACAAGACAAGACCACAAATCAAAGGCAAATGCCACACAGATAATTTGTCAAAGCTTCTATTCCAAATAAACAAGTTGTCCCGAACAAGGATTCAGAGCTAACACGCCCTCTTTTATTTCCTGAGGGGCGTGTCAGTCTCTCAAGTCAGTCCCTGATTTGACATTTCCTTTTACGTTGTATTTCACACTTCTGCCTGCGTCTTTGCCTTGCATCAAACCAGCATTCCTCGGCTTGATCCTCAGCCAAGGACTCCGGCACTCTCTCCTGATTATCTGCCAACACCTGAGGCACAACCAGGGAGGAAGGTCCTGGAGAGGAAGATGATTCCGAATCTTCCAGCAAAGCAGGCTCAAACCTCAGAGCCAAATCCTCCTCTTCCTCTTGACTCACGTCTGTGTCTCCCAGCAAAGCAGGTTCAAACCTCAAGGCCAAATCCTCCTCTTCCTCATTACTCGAGCCTGTGTCTTCTAACAGAGCAGGCTCAAACCTCTGAGTCACAACACTAAATAAGTTATATTTTCTTACTATATTTACCAATGCTCATAGGGCACTATTATTTGTTCTTTTTACATAACCTCTCTCATAACTATAATCCAGTTTGTAATTTGTGCCATTAGTGTAATTTGTGCCACTAAACATAATTATATTAACTTTCACATAACTTTCCAAATATCACCTTGGAGTTTTATGTAGTTTCATTGCTCTGAAGCAGCAGTGGAGGAAGAAGCTTTGCAACAATTGGATTCAAAGGATCATGATCATTCTAGCACCTGATGTGAATAAAGTAGAATGGCAATGGAAATTGAAGAGTAGATACAACACTTTATTGGCCAAGTGTGATTGGACACACAAGGAATTTATCTCTAGTGCAACAGCTCTCAATGTACATACAAACAAAGTAATATAATCATAAGATACCATTAGGAGAATGTAGTCATTGGTATGGAGAATGCACAAAGGGGGTGTGTGTGCTAACTGAACAGGTATTCAATGTGATTTTACTGGCCTTTTTTTTTTTTACACCTACTTTTTCTGTTAAAAAGCTTATAATTCATATATAAGCTGACCGGTATAGCTCGCTGAGTCAATTTAAAGTGAATTTCTGGGATGATATTGAATGCTGAGTTGAAGTCTGCAAAAATGATCTTGCATAGGTCCTTGGGGATTCAAGATATTGTAAAATGTAGTGCAGTGCTGTATTAACAGCATCATCTGCAATCTATTTGCTTGATAGGCAAACTGCAAGGTCTAGCAATAGTTCTGTGATGTTTTACAGGTGGGTCAGCACTAATCTTTCAAAGGTTTTCATAACTACAGATGTCAGCAATCAGTCTGTAGTCACTCAACTCCTTGATGGTGTCTTGGGCCCTGGGGATGATAGAGAATTTGAAGCAAGAAGGAATATAATATATCCCTAAAGATTTATTAAAGATGCAGGTGACGATGAGGGTCCAGTTGATCAGTACAAACTTTTAAGAAAAAGTTACTCTGTCTGCAGTGGTCAAGAGACTGAGGCTAAAGATGCGAACTATGCTGAAGGGTGTGTAGCGAGGATTAGTTCTATATGATTATGATATTGGAAAGGTTCAACTATTTATTTCCAGGTAACATTAAACAAAAACAACAATAGTTCTATTACAGGGATGACTTTGAAGTGATCACAGTATCTAAAAATACTGTTAACATTGTCCAATCATTCCCTCAGCCCAACTCACTTCACACAGTTTTTGCTATGGTAAAAATAGGAGGGGGAACTGAGTATCAGGTATGTTTACCACCTTGTTGTTTATAAAAATAACGGTGGGATATAAGTAAAACATCTATTTTCAAGGAAAAGTAAATTACCCAAATCATCAAATAGGAAATAATCTCTCTTAAAAGCTGTATTGACCTATCCAATAAGAACTGGAAGTTTACATTTTGTGTTACACTATTTCAGAATACTGGCCAGATCAAATTTGTCATGTCAACTGAACAAGTAATTCTATAGTTCTCCATACAAATGTGCAAACTGGGAAAAGTGCATTGGATCTGATATTTATATGCTCACGGTACTTGTCACTCCTTTTCCTGGGCTTCCAGTTCCAGGACATTCGGTTTGTCAAAGGAGCCAATGATAGATACAATGAACACACTGCTGGGTCCAAAACACTGCTCCCACCTAAACTGAATAAGGTGTAAATCTCTAGTTCTCAGCCCCTATTAGAAAGTACAGCTAAAAGCTTGTAAAAATGCTGGAAAAGTGAAACAAGGGAGCCTGAAGTTTTTAATTTATTTATAAAGCCCTATTTGCCAATATCTTGTGTCTGGAAGTCAAGGTATAGACATAGGAAAAACACAATTTACTGCAACAAAATCCAGTTTATTAATTAAGAGACTAAAGTCAGTACAATATTTGTTTTCATAACATGAAACATATCAATGTCAAAACTCAACCCATCTTTTGAGTGGCTACTATAGCATAGTGATATGAATTTGCTGCCATCTGCAGTTTATTCTGACAGCATGGAATGTCATATCAATGATCAAAATTGTTCCCTATATTTTCTCTTGCAATCTCAATCAATTCCTCTCATCATCTAAAGGCAATTTATGTGGTTTGATTATACTTTTTAGCACACCAGGATTTCTAAACGCTGGAAGAACACAAATATTTAAAATATCTGTGTACCTAGCCAAGGGCAGATTAATAAATTTTATCCAGACATTATACAGTTTATGTTCATGCTATATTGTTAAAACCCAAGATCTCCTGAGCCACATAATAACATGCTAATTTAATAAGTTATTCACATTCAATAAAAATATATTAAAAGATATTAAGATAAAAGCAATTGTTCAACAGTGCTAAAGTATGCAGAAGCAAACCAAGGAAACAAAATATACATTAAACAATTTTAAACCAAACTGGCTAAAGTGTAATAACCATAAAGAAAGTGCATTTCAGAACTTCTTGATACCCTTCTTAAAGTAAACCAAGGGTATTAAAAATAATACTCATTATTTTAGTTGCAGCACAACTGTAAGGACACAGATCAGATAAATGTAATATTTGTTTACATTTAAATACTTTGAAACAGGCAATGTTTTATTGATATTTAAAATAATTGCTACAAATGATTTCAAAACTTCTTTTTATGTTCCCTTTAAATGCATGGTTGGATAATAACTTTATGATAGCATCACTAATTTGAGAAAAATCGGTTAATTTTGTACTTAAGCTTAAAATAAGGTTTCAAATTCATAAATATATATTCCTTTAAATATTTTCATTTTTAAAATTTTCATACTGGGTGTGTTTAGCTTGGTTTTCTTTATGTTTCCAGGTACTCATTGTCTAAATGAAACCTTTTTTCTTTTCACAATCTAAGATTGTTTTACTAGACTGCATACACGATAGTATGTGACAGCAATTCAGTTCATTATTTTAAAGTAATAATGTAATCTAAAAGAATTTTTATTATACAACCAAACTCTCATTGTGTATACTTACAATGTAGAATGGATTTAAAAGTTTAAAACATACTGATTTATTGAACCTAATACAGTAGTTCAACCTCATTAATATACTGATTCCAACAGCGGTTAACACAGACATTGTGGCTTATGTTAACTGATACTTATCAGTTAGCTGCTGGATTCACATAAGCCAACTTTACTTCCTTGTAGTTACTTTTAATTTGGACAGAATGTTTAAACATATATGTATGTATGTATGTATGTGTATGTATGTATGTATATATATGTATGTATGTATATGTATGTATATATATATTTGCCTTTGCTTTTCAGTGCTTTTTTGTATCTCCCCGTTGAATCATAGGATTACCACTATTCATCTGATCATACAATTAATCTTGAGATGTTACTAGCTCTTGTAAAACCTTTTCCATCTCAGCTGGAACAGATGTATAGGTTGTTTTAGGCAATGTCATCTGAAGAGCACACCACAGTGTAGTACGAGCTTTACGTGTTGCTATGCACATCTCTTTAATAGCCAATGCAAGAGCAAAAACATCTGCAACATAAGAAAAAAATAGAAAATATAAATTCTTATCAACTGCTCAAAATCATTACTGACACAAACCCACACCAATATCTGCTGCTGATTTCAACAATACCGCATTATTTTTATATTGTGAGAGAAAAATATTTTATCTGAATCATACAGATCTGGCAAAAAATACCTATTCCTATCCAAAAGGAACATAAAGGAATTCCCATTTAAGAAATCCTGATATTGCTAGGGCTTAAAATTATTGTAATGAACGACAGCAAAAATTATTTGCATAGTTTTCCCATCTTTTAATGGAGTATGTTTCTAACTAAAGTGTGCAGTAACTAATCTGAAGTGGGCAAGAGTGCTTTAAATCTGATATGGGCAGTCTCTTTATATCTGTTGGCATCAACAGTTACTGAGAGCGTGCCCATGCCAGATAGCTGGCTGAGGAATTCTGGGAGTTGAAGTCCACAAGTCTTGAAAGTGCCAAGTTTGGGGACCCCTGATCTACAGAAAGGAACAAGAGGTCAGCTATACTGGACTTAATTCTTATTAACAGAGTTGAAATTGTATAGGGCAGGGGTCCCCAACCACCTGGCCGCAGACCGGTACCGGGCCGTGTAACATTTCCTACTGGGCCGCTGGTTTGCTGGGCGCCGCCATCTTGTTTGACAAGAAAGTGCTTCCAGATGAGCTTTTCCGGTTGGAAAGCGGTGTTTGGGTCCTGAAGGAATCCTCGCACCTTAGTTTCATCGAAGGGGGGGGCTTCGAATGAAACTAAGGTGCGAGGATTCTTTCAGCACCCAAGGCAAGGCGAGCCGAGCGACTGTCCCGAAGCCGTCCAGAAGCGAAGCCCATCGACAAAGGTACAAAGGAGGAGTTGAAGGTGGTGGGGGACGGCTGACTGGCCAGTCGCTTGGCTCGCCTTGCCTTGTCATGCATGCTGATGCTGGTACCGGGCCGCGGATCATTTTGTGATACCGGTACCGGGCTGTGGCACAAAAAAGGTTGGGGGCCACTGGTATAAGGGGTTCGTGTTGTAGGAACTTTAGAGGAAAGTGACCATGTCATTTTGAAATTCAATATAATACAGACACAAGAAATAGAACAAATCAAAGCAGTGTCTTAGAATTTAACAGCTATATTTCAACAAACTTTGAATTTGGAAAGGATTCCATGGATCAAAATCTTAAGGAGAAAACAATTCAAGAAGCTTGAGAAAGTCAGAAAAATGAAATTATCAAAATCCAGTCCAGCATGATGCCACTGAAAAAGAAAAATAAGAGATCCAAAAGAAACCTGCATAGTTGCATAAAGAACTTTTTGTTAAACTGAAAGACAAAAGGACAAGTATAAAAAGTTGAAAAAGGGACCCATAACTAAGGCAGAATACCAGGATATAAGCTGAAACTGCAAATATAAAGTCAGAAAAGGCTCAATGAGCTAAAATTAACAAAAATAAAAATCTTTAAACATGCAAAAAATAAGGAAAATGTCAAGGAAACAATTGGTCCACCAATGGGATAAGGAGGAAATGATCACAACAGAGAGAAAATAGAAGTTCATAATTTATTCTTTGTATCTGTCTGCACACAAAAGAAAAAAATAGTCTATTCTACCAAAAGCAGAATCATAAAAGACAGGCTAGGGATCCCAAAGTTGTTTTTTCAAGGGGCAACTAGCCTTTTTTTTTTCTTTGAAGGCATTTCGTTTCTCATCCAAGAAGCTTCTTTAGCTCTGAAGCTTCTTGGATGAGAAGTGAAACACCTTCGAAGAAAAAAAGTGAAAAACAAGTGAAAACGAAACTTTGGGACAACCCAAATTGAAAATATCCAGAGACACAAAGTCAAAATAGACAAGAAAATGGTAAGAGAACTCCTGTCCACCCTAGACAAAATTCCACCAGGACCAGATGGATTACATCCCAGAATTCTGAAGTTGCTGGCAGATGTAATCACAGAACCACTGAACCTTTTTTTTAAAACTTCTGGAGCACAGGGGAACTATCAAAAACTGGAACTGATGTGGTTCCCTTCTTTAGAAAAGGAGGGGAGAAACAAATCCAGGAAGCTATAAACCTATGAGCCTGACATCAGTATCTGGGAGGATCCCGGAAATGATAATCAAACAACAGATCTGTGAACACCCAGAAGCTAGCAAAGCTATTACTAGAAGCCAATATGGTTTTGTCAAAAACAGATCATGCCCAAATTTTATTGCATTCTTAGAAAAAATGACTAAATTAGTGGACCAGTGAAATGTGGACAAGTACCCTTGGACTTCAGTAAAGTATTTGCCAAAGTAGACAACAACCTACATCTTGATAAGATTCAAAAATGTGGACAGCATCACTACCAGATGGATATGTAACTGGCTGACAAACTGTACTCAACATGTAGTGCTTAATGGAACTAGATCTACATAGAGGGAAATATGCAGTGGCACCCCAAGATTCTGTCCTAGGCCTAGTACTCTTCAACATGTCTGTTTTAATTAACAGAAGGATAGGGTTGACATCATAGCAGTTTTCCAATATTTGAGGGACTGTCATAAAGAAGAGAACATTCTTTTCTTCAAAGCACTGTTACAAGTAACAAGAAACTTGTCAAAGAGAGATTCAACCCAGAAAATAGTGAGAAATTTCCAGTGGAACGGCTTGTCTTGTAGGTGTTCCATCCCTAGAAGTTTTTAAGAATGGATTGGATAGCCACTTCTCCAAAATGATATAAGGCCAGAGGTGGTATTCAGCAGATTCTGACCAGTTCTGGTAATGGAAATTTTTAATTTGCAGAACCAGCAAATACAACTTCTGATTGGAGATTTTACAGTATCCTTCCCCTGCCATGCCCACCAAGCCACGCCCACAGAACCGGCAGTTAAAAAAAATTGAATCCCACCACTGCAAAAGGCCTCCTGTTTGAACTAGATAGCCTCCAAAGCCCCTCCCAATTCTATTATTTGTATTACCTCTGTCATCTTGACACCGGGGGCCTCCTTGTCTTTGCCGATGTGAAGCATTGACAATTTCATCCTTTCTGCGGGATTGAACAACATGTATTGCTTCCAAGTGCTTATCAAGAGCAGTACAGATATTAGCATGAAGGGGAGAACTTCGGAGACGTTCCATCTTTCCCAGCAGAGTCACAACCTATGAATATTAACAGACAGTTTAAATTCCACACTGAAGGCCTACTATAAAAGTACAATATGAAATTGCTTTTTAAATCTTTCAAAGAACTACAGTTCTGGGGATCCAAGGCAACTGTAATTTTTGTATTTGCCGGAGTATCCCCATGCCATTCCAAGATTCTGAATTTAAGAGTTTCAAAATATTTTGTGTTTTTGAAAATTATATTGATAGAACACTATTTCAGGGTTTGTTTTTTTACAATAATTGGATCATGATTACTTATACCTGCAGGACCACTTACTCCAGCCAGTATTGGCTCAACCAGTTAAATCTATTAGGAATAATTGTTACAAATTCTTCACTTCTGCAAGGTTGGGGGAGGAACAGACTGAAGCAAGATGTCTCTTCTCTATGGTAGAACAGAAATTGTGGAATAGCTTCCAAGTGATTACCTACCCTCTCAGTGAAAACCAAGCTAATTCAGAAGCCTTTGCCCAATTTGATGTTGCTATTTTTTTGCTTTTTTATTGTCTATTTTTATACTATAGCTGTAGTTTTTGGTTAATATACTGTGTCTATTGCTATTGTTTCTACTTATGGCTGTCAGGTTTTTAGATTCTCTCATGAATGTTCTAAAATATTTTTTTATTCTATGTCCTCTGCCAAGACAAGTCTTATTTTAGACTATGAAAAATATAGTGTAACTTGTTTCACTTATTTATTTCCTTGACTTGTTCTAATTTTAATAAACTTCTGATTCAGGATATGAAGATATTTGTTGAATTAAAATATGCAAGCAGATACTTCTCAGTTTTTGAAGGTATTATACTTTTTTTATATGGTAGTGCTTCACTTTCCAACTGCTGCTTCTATTTTCATCATTAACCCAAGAGCACAAACAGGAGAAAAACCAGTAAGAGGGAGCAGGAATGCCAGCTTGAAGCAAGGAAAATTGATAGAAACTGCATCCAGTCCTCCTTCCTTAAAATTGACAAGACTGAAGATAGAACAAACTGCATCCATCATTGAATGAATTCTATAAAATTCTATAAAATTGTTTTGAGCAGCCATGTCTATTAGGAGGTGGAGGAGCAAAGCAAAGAAGAATTAAATAAAAATGTCACTGCATGTAATAGTCAATCTTTCTGTTTGGCAGAAAATTTGCGCCCATTTGGGAAGCTGATAAAATATGAGATTCAAAATTTAAATAACTCACTCTGGCTTGCTCTCGTAACTGATCCACAATTAAACGGTCAACTCTGGATGGATTTGATGTCAGTCTTGGGATAGGAGTGTTATTAGTGCTAGATACCTTCTTCCCAGGGTAATTCTTTGCAAGGGCAGATTCAGTCTGAAAAGCAGAATAACTAATGATAAGAAAGATTTTCCACACTTCAGGGATGCAAATAGTGATATAAGCTCTAAACAAAATTGCTGGATTCCAACTATTCAGCCTAACTTTCAAAAATTGTGTAAATGTGATATATTCCCTAGAAGAAGTTTGCAATTCAAAATTTCAATCATAATTATGACAATCTTAAAAGAGAATCACTTGTTAAGTTTAATAATAGAATAGAAAGTACTGAAATTTTGATATTGGACAAAACAAGATATTGGGCACTGAAGTAAAGTTTCTTTCTGGCATGGAGTATCCAAAGTATAAAATTATGTAACTTGCAATTATATAATCACATAGGTTGACTCAGCCTTCCATCCTTCTGAGGACGATAAAATGAGGACCCAGATTGTTGGGGGCAATATGCTGACATTGTAAACCAGAGAGTGTTGTAGAGCACTTTGGAGTGGTATATAGGTCTAATTGTTATAGCTGTTGCTATATCTTCTAGTTTTCCACAGCCAAACTTAAATTAGGAATTTATATAAGGATAGCATTAGGAAGAAACAAAATTATTGTTATCATTAGTAAATGATAACTTAGTTGAAGCTAAAACAGTGGCTAATCTTAGATAGCTCCTTTTCATCAAATCAGAAGGAACCTTTAGAATAAATGTGACATCAAACTGACATGTGAATAAGAATGGATTTATGGCAAACTGCATCTACTAAAAGCTGGTTTTTTAAATAAGTTACTATGAAATAACTTATAATATTTAATGAAAATATATCCAGAAAATTGCCATGCCTATTTCCAATAAGTAGACATAAGAAGAAAATATGATTACAGTGACAGCCTTGGGAATAGTACATGAACAAGAGAAAGTTTAGAAAATTTGCTATCGTAGGACTTGCAATTTAGTTTAAATTATCTTTAAACTAATTAGATAGAAAATGGTTAGCAGCTTTCTTATCCAGAGAACTGGGATTAAATGGCACAAAAATGGAATCAGTAAGAGAAAATAAGATATATATTTAATATTTTAATGCCTTGTAAACATTGAATTTGTAGTAACATCTGTGAAATGAAAATCATTTAGACAAGAAGATGGGAGAATAATATAGCTGTGTAACAATTAAATAACCAGGGAATGATGTAATTAAAATGTATAAGAATTTAGAAACGGAAAGGACAAAAAGCTTGGAGATTCTTTTGGTCAAATAAATGGCTGTTTGCCTATACTGAACACAGGTGCTTGGAAGGTATCAGAGCTTCAATGAGAGGTCTTGAGAATAGTATTTGTTTGTTTGTTAGATTTATTTGCTGTCTATCTTGCCATTATGATACTTTAGGCCTCTGATGGCGAACCTATGGCATGCGTGCCACAGGTGGTACGTAGAGCCATTTGTGCAGGCACTCAAACCCCAGGCAAACTTACCTGCACTGCACATGTGCTCACCTCCCGGTTGATTTTCAGCCCATTTGAGGCCTTTTTTGGCCTCCCAGAGGCTTGAGGGAAGCCTCTGCAGCCTTTGGAGCCGAAAAATGGGCCCGTTTCATCACTTCCGGGATTTCCGGAAATATTGGAAGTGATGAAACGAGCCTGTTTTTCGGCTTCCAAAGGCTGCAGAGGCTTCCCTCAAGCCTCTGGGAGGCTGAAAAAGGCCTCAAACAGACTGAAAATCAGCTGGGAAGAGTGCACATGCGCAGTGCAGGTAAGGCATGGAGGGATCACACCTGCATGCACAGGGGGCGTGGGCATTGCCTTCTAGATGCTGGCATGTGAGCGTGTGAGTGCGCACACAATTTTCGGCACAGGAGCCCAAAAAGGTTAGCCACCACTACTCTAGGGGGCTTACAACAATCTGTAAAATCCCTGATCAAAATACAGCCTGTGCATCACAAGAGGATAAGAAGCAGTTTCATTCAAGAAGCACTTGTGGATGGTATGGATCTGACACCTTGTCAATATTCTCTCTAGAGATTAAAAAAATGAATGTCTTCTAAGTATTAATGTATTTTTATGATAAGAGACCATATACAGCATATATTGGAATATTTAACTTTAGTTCAAGCCTGCTAATTAATGGATTCTCCAGGTATGACTTTTAGAGACTTAGTTACTATGCATTATACAGATCTCAATCTGGGATCTCCCCTGAGAGATCCTGATGGCCCAGATCCTATTAAAATGTTGTAAAGATCTGAAGACCTAGCTTTTTTTCCAGGTTTTAGAGCAAGCTAGATGAGCAACAGTGGTCTTGATGATATGATTTTGTTTTGGGGTTTATTGTTTAATTGGGACATTATGAGTTTGCACTTTTGTTATATTTTTAAAACTTTGTATGACACCCATTGTTTGAGATGGACAGCTAAACAAACAGGTATATAAATAAAATATAGAAAACACCCTTGGGGCCCAGGGCAAATCAAAACATAAGTCTTAGAACTCAAAATGATTGTTTTGATAAGAACATCAGAGAATTTTTTTGCTATTACTATGGGAAAGAATCTAATCTCTGATAGATCAACGAAGATAGATAGATAGACAAAGTCCCCAGTTGAAGTCCTTATTTGATTGGAGAGTTTATGACTTGAAGCTGCAATAGTAAACTCATTCATCTACTTTACATCCAGAATGGACTCTTCCCTTTGGAGGATAACAAAGACCAGAGGCTCTGGAAATACTATCTTAAAATTTAACTGGCAAATTATTCAGTTTTTTGAAAGAGAAAAATTGGAGTCCACATCACATAACATAGAGATATATCTTGATATGAGGTACCAGGGCCAATGTGAGCATCTATCATGACATAAGCTGCAACAGAACATTTTTTTACAGAAATAAACATATTATGGAGCTTGATCTTCGTAATTTGTGTTCTACCCACAAGAAAGAAATCTAGAAGATTATGTTAATGAAGCCAAAGCTACTGTTTCCTGGATTTTCTAGGAATTTAATACATTTGAAAAGAACAGTTGTAGAAGCATCTACTAGGTGCATTTATTTAATATAATATACAGATAGTCTTTGACTTATGACAAGAGTTGGAATCAGAATTTCGAGCCATTAGGCTATATAGTCATTATAGTTAATTCAATCATCATTAACTGGACCCAATTTTATGACCATTTTTACCGTGATTGTTAATCAAATCACCATGATTGTTAAGCAAATTACATGAATTACATGGTCTTTAAATGAATATGGTTTCACCCATTATTTTATTTGTTGGACTTTGGCTGGGAAGGCCATAAATCATTACATGACCGCAGGGTGCTTTAACCATTGTATAGATAGTCCTCATGGCCTGTCAGTTAGAAGTTGTTCATAGTTACATCAAGTTCCCAAAAGATACTTATGATCTGGTTCTAAAGTTCCAACAGCTGCCCTCTCCCCAGTCACATGACATTTCAGGTGCCCGGCAACTGGTCCACAATTACCACTATTTGCAGCATCCCACTATCACAATTACGATTTATGTTTTTGTCAGCATATACTTCTGATTTTCAGCAAAATCACCGCATAGCGAACAAGTGCCATTATAATTTCAGTAGCTAAATGAATTGTTGTAAGTTAAAGACTACTTGTAGAAGGGTAAATTGACAGTACATATTTGTCCTCTATAATAGATAATCCTCAATGGAAAACAATTTGTTTAGTGACCATTCGAAGTTATAGCAGTACTGAAAAAAATGACTTAAGACCATTTTTCACACTTACGACCATTGCAGCATCCCTACAATCCTATGATTTGGATGCTTGGCAACTTCCATGTATTTTTGACAAGTTGCAGTGTCCCAAGCTCATGTGATCACCTTTTGTGACTTTCTAACAAGCAAAGTCAATGGGGAAGCCAGATTCACTTAACAATCATATTATTAACAACTGCAGTGATTCACTTAACAATTATAACAAGAAAGATCATAAAATGGAGCAAAACTCACTTAACCGCTTCACTTAGCAGGAGAAATTTTAGGTTTAATTGTTCTAAGTCAAGAACTATCTGTATTGAATTTTTGTTCCCCTATATGGCAGGGGTATCAAACTCAAGGCCCTGGGGCCGGATCTAGCCCATGAGGTGCTTAGATCTGGCCTGTGGGGCTACCCTGGAAACAAAGAAGGACCGGCCCGCGGTGCCTCTTCCAGCAAAATCAGAGCTCAGGAGGGCCGCATGCGGACTCCATTTTCGCTGGCAGAGGGCTGCAGGAGACCATCACGGCTGAAACCGGGTCCTGGAGTGGAGCTACACATGACCTCCCCCAGACTCCATTTTTGCTGGCAGGGGGCTAGGAAAACAAATTAAAAACAAAACAAAAGGAGAAATATTTCCCCTTTTGCATTTAAGCATCCAAGAAGGGAACAGGAAAGAGAAAGAGGAACAACAACTACCTTGCCCCCCGCCCCCCCCAAGGGCGAACGCAACCCTGATGTGACCCTCAGTAAAATCGAGTTTGACACTCCTGCTCTATGGAATTCCTTTGATGATGGCCTGACTACAAGTACGCTTCAACTTACAACAGTTCATTTAGTGACCATTCATAGTTACAATGGCACTGAAAAAAGTGACTTACAACAGTTGTTGACACTTATGACCATTGCAGCACCCCCCTGGTGGCATGATTAAAATTCATATGCTTGACAACTGACTCACTGTTATGACAATTGCAGTATCCCTGGATCATGTGATCACCTTTTGCGACATCTGACAAGCAAGATTGGTGGAAAATCCAGATTCACTAAACTACTGTATTACTAACTTAATAACTGCAGTGATTCATTTAATAACTGTGGCAACAAAAGTTTTAAATAGGGCAAAAATCATTTAACAAATGTCTCATTTAGCAGCTGAAATTTTGGGCTCAATTAAAGTCAAAAGCTACCTATATTCAATTATTACATGTGTTCTCAAGAGTAATATTTTATTCTTCCATACAAAAATAAGAAGCTACTTTCATTTTATGAGGAAAAGAGGTAAATTTGGGAGTACCGCTGTTGGGAAGTCTTACATTTGACTACCCCCAAAAATGAGCCCACTGAATTCATTTGGATTAATACTAGAGAAAACTGTAGCTATTAACAATTATTTTTTTCCACTGTATTATATCTTAAGATTCTGTTTTATTTAGTACAATAGAATGTGGATATTTGAAACTTCTATTTCAGGTAGCAGAAGTAGTTTAAGAAGAAATTTAAGAATACAACAAATATTATTTGTAATAACTATTCTATGCATAGGTTTCTTACCTTTTTCCTTTCTTTTTCTAGAGCTCTCCACTGTTCATAACATTCTTCCAATCTAATATGAAGCTCACTGGCTGATCCACTTCGAGTTTTCACGGGTCTTTGAAATCCAAATGTTGGAATGAAGCCGGTGAAAGAATTGTCTCCATACATCATATCATTAAAATATGGGTACAAATGGCTTAAATCCTCATAGGAAAACAAATCATAGGAATCCATCAAAGGAATAACTGATGGTCCAAAAGCATGGTTGGGTTTCAAAGGAAATCTGTTTGAACTTAGCTGTTGGGCATTTGGGCTATGTCTCAAATCACCCATCATAAAATTATTTGAGAAACAAGAAACTTGGTTGCAATTTACACGGTTACTGACAATATTACTATCTCCGCCTCCTTGTCTATGACTATTTAAGTGGCCTTGAGACTCCAATATATCTTGGTAGGAATTTTGAGACAATCCATCTAAATGTTTTTGGCCTTCCTCAACTTCATAATGTCCAGTTTGTGGTTTAACTTGAAAATTGTGCTTGTTCACATTTTCAATGATCCCATATTGCTGTGAATAGTTATCACAAAAACCGTTTGGTGGCTTAATTTTTTTGTCAATAATGGACTCAAAAAGGCTTTCTTCTACTTTACTTAATCCTTCTGTATGACTGGAAGAAGAAACTCTCTCTGTAGCACCACCATCTTTGAAATCAAAATTGGAAAATATTGTAGGTGCTTCTTGGCGATATTTCTGAAGTAACAAATTATTATTTAAAGTTACATTCGCTGATGATAGCTGAGAAAAATCGTAAGAATGATTGGAACCTTTTGAACCTGTAGATAAATTACTCAATTTTATCAAGGTGCTTTGATTCCGAATAGGGACAGAGGAACTGTTTTTAGCTTGTATATTTATCCATGTTGGCCTCAGGTTTGTGCTTGGTGAAGTAGTTACTGGATTTGTTGCTAAAATATTCAGTGATTTGAAATAATCTGAATTTTCTGAAACATTTGCAAAATCACCACTTCCTGGAACAGCTATATGAGACTTCAGGGTAAAATCCGACTTTAAACCAAAATCAGGAGTAAATGAATTTTCATTCACAAACTGTTTTTCTGATAAGAGTCCTGTGGTCTTTTGAAATGTAAAACTCTGCTGCTCTGAAGATACATCTTCCATTTTCTTTGGGACAACTTGTTTATTTTGAAAAAATTTACTATAATTATCTGTATCTAACATTGGTAACTCAGGTGTTCCACTTGGTAATTTTTTACTCTCTTGGACAGCATAATTTATGTTTTTATTTTGCTTTACTTTATTAAGATGAGAATAATCCAGGTATCTATAATAATCTGCACTTTCACCGTACCTATTAAATTGTGAAAGAAACATTTCAGCTTTCTTTTGATGTTCTGAATCATGTCCCCTAGGACCTGTTTTTTCTCTTCCATAAGTGTAAGTATCTGTTCCTGATTCTTTTATTGCTTCTAAAAGATTGGTTTGTGGGGTAAAACATGTTTTTGCATATGAATAGTCTTGAAATTGTGATACCTTTGCATTTTCATTGGACTGAACATTGTAACAGTTGAGATTATCATTCCTGGAAGGAAACAGCCATTGTTCATCAAGATCTATATTAGTAAGCTCATGATAAAGGTCATCCACCTTCTGCTGCAATGTTACATTACCAGTGTGCAGATACTGTTTTTCAGAAACTGGTAAAGATTCTCCACCATAAAAAGCCTGTTGAGGAATGACTCCATCTATTGCTCTTTTTGTTTCAGACAACACATCAGGATGATCTGTAAATCGAGTACTGCTCACAGGCCATACAGATTTTAAACTGGTGGCACATGCTCTAGAAGAATGAAAAATAAATAGTTGTGGCAATTCCTTAATAGGTTTTATATTTTATGCTTTTAGTTTTGATGTGTCCTATAATTAATGTACCCAAAGAGCCATTAAAAGCTATTACAATTATAGTCTTAGAACAACATATATCAGTGATGGCAAACCTTTTTGTTGTGGTGTGCCGAAAGTGTGTGCACGGGTGCCGGCACCCACAATGCAATGTGTCTGCCCCCCTGCGCATGCATGTGCAACACCCCCACCCTACCCCCTTACCCGCACTGTGCTGATTTTTGGACCGTTTGAGGCTGTTGTCACTCTCCTGGAGGCTAGAGGGAAGCCTCTGCAGCTTCAGGAGGCAAAAAAATGGGCCTTCCGGAAATACCGGAAGTGCCCATTTTCACCCTCCGGAGGGCCTCTAGAGCCCATTTTCACCCTCCTGAAGGCTTGAGGAAGTCTTTGGAGCCTTGGGAGGCTGAACTCAGGCCAGTTTCAGCACTTCCGGTATTTCCGGAAGGCCCATTTTTCGCCCTCCCAAGGCTGCAGAGGCTTCCCTCAAGCCTCTGGGAGGCCGAAAACTGCTTCAAACAGGCCAAAAATCAACTGGGAGGCACGTGCATGCGCAGTGCAGGTAAGTTTGGCTGAGGCTCACAAATGGCTCTGCGTGCCACCTATATATTAAACATATATATTAAAGTAAAAATAAATATTTAAAAGGTAGTACGCTACTAATAAGTGACGTGGTGCCTCAGTGGCTAAGATGCTGAGCTTGTCGATCAGAAAGATCGGCAGTTCGGCGATTCAAAACCCTAGCACTGCGTAGTTCCCGTTACTTGTCCCAGCTTCTGCCAACCTAGTAGTTCGAAAGCATGTAAAAAATGCAATTAAAAAACTAGGGACCATTTTGGTGGGAAGATAACCATGTTCCATGCGCCTTTGGTGTCATGCCAGCCACATGACCATGGAGACATCTTCAGAAAGCGCTGGCTCTTTGGCATTGTAACAGAGATGAGCACTGCCCTCTAGAGCCGGAAACAACTAGCACGTATGTGTGAGGGGAACCTTTACCTTTATGCTGCTAATATGCGGAGATTGCAAGTAGCAGGCATATATCTTATTTAATTAATAAATTCAAGAAGATAGTATTTTGAAATAGATCCAATATATTGTTTTAAGATACTTACTAAACAGTTGAAACAGCTGAAAAAAATACTTAGAAAATTTTAATTTTCAAGTATTTATATATCAAGGCTTTCAGAAATTACAACCTTTTACTATTAGAAGTAGATTAAAAGTGGCTATATATGATAAATGCTGCTTATAATAGTAAGCATGAGAAAATGTTGTTCTATTCTAAATACAGTACTAACCCTTCAGTAAAATAGGGCTGTGATTTATCTTGTTCTTCCAAGATGTTAGACACAAGTCCATACAGATCTGTTTCACTGCCATAGTCATTTCTTTCTGTTTGAATCCTGAAGACAAACAAAGTATAGTGAATTGTGATTTACCATCCAAATCTATTATGTTTGGTCTTTTTAATTGTATAGTCTGTACTTATGATATAATGAATTATCCAGAACTACAACTTATTTCACCAAGTTCCTTCTTACATAGCATAACTAAATTTTCTCTTTATTTTACTCTGCTAGCTTCCTACCAGACAATGGCTGATAAAAACATATTTCCCAACCAAATCATGATCTGAATCACACATAATTTTATATCAATCCACATTTTAATACCATATAATTAAGAACTTCCATAATTCAAATATATCCAAACTGCTATTGCTAGAGGATTCTATGGGTCAGAAAGGCCAAAACTGTACCTTTATATTAATTCCTTTTTATAAATATAGTTGGTAATGCCAAAATTTTCTGAAAGCAAATTCCAAAATTCAAACCCATATGATTTTATAAAACTCAGAACATCAAAATCATTACTTTTGCTGCCATCATTCCCTAAAGATTTACACCAACTTATTTTGTAAAGATAGAAAATACAAGAGTCTTTTTCTCTTCAGTTGACTTATCAGAGTTTCTGTTATTTAGATTAATAAAATGATCAATCAAAATACAGTACAACATAAGGTGACAATGGTGGTAATTCTTAACTTATTATCTTGCTATTAGAATAGGAGAGACATTTGAAAGCTTTGATTTTTACATCCATTATTACTGTATTTCTGTAAAAGAAAGGGTAGATCAAAGGCAAATATGTTTACAGAATGGAAGATGATGACATAACATTATTCTGAGCCTTTTAAGTTTCTCTTTTGCCAGGTTTCTTTTTTCCTCATCATTCTTTTTAAAAAAACAATTAGGGGCAAAAATAAAAATGATCTGTGCAGAAAGATTGCTGGACATTAGAAACAATTTAGAAAAGCCCTAACATGTCTTATGCCAGAAAGCAAAACAAATTTCAAAGTTCATTTAATTCTTTAATCATATACCTGCTCTTTACATTAATTTGAGAATTTGGAGGTTGTTTATTATCATCTGCATAAGTGGACCATGGGACATAGAAAAGAGAAGAGTCATTGTGATTTAAACATTCAGAGGTTGTTGAAAGTGAAGTACTGTAAGTCTGCCGTAAGTCTACATTCTCTTCATTCTGAATTTTAAAGAAGAAAAAGATAATATACAAAGCAATATACAAAACAGTACTTTTCTTAACTTATAACATAAATTTTATAATTAATTTCCAGTATTAAGGTTAAGCAGGTTATAAGGAGGAAAACAACCATCTGGATTTTTTGCCTAATGCTAGGAAGTTAGATGTATGCAAATGAATGAAGCTAGACATTGTTTTCTCAATTCAATGTATTAATTAATTTCAATGCAAAATTGTTTCATGATATTACCAAACCATAACAATAGTTCACATTTCAATACTCAACATTTTACATTTTATAATTTCTTGTTTTTAACAAATGACATAACATCAAATTAGCTTGTTTTCAAAATAATTCAAGCATTGGTAGAAAAAAAAATCAGAATTGCTCTTATATTATATTAACTAATGTAAGCAGGAAAGAGTAAGTGAAGTACAATTTCCAGAGCATATACAAAATTAAAAATGCAATTTATTTGGATTTCACTTATCAATAAACCACTGAAAATGTAATTCATTCTTTGTAATTTATTCCCTCACAACTAAAATAATTTCTATATCATCACACAATGTAAATCTATCCTCAAGCAAAAAGTAGTAAACTGGATGTCCAAAGTGTCTTAATATAGGAGTAATAAATATATCAAACAATGGAATAATATGTACAGTACTGCTGCTAGTTAAAAAGGAGCACTTTCTGAAGTAATGCCCCAGTGTGATGCAGCTACCTATTATTTTTGTGATTACCTCATATGTAACACTCTAGGACTATTTTTGAAAATCTAAGCATGTTGACCTGATTTGTATTTTCCTAGATTAGTAAAGAACCAAGGTACAAGCCTTCTTTCAATTGCTACCTTCAGTGGCAACCATTACATTAAACTACCTAAAGTGTATAATCACTCATTATATATGTAACTGTTAAGACCTACTGCCTTTTTTCTTTGGTTTCTCCCAGATCCTTTCCCTGAAGTGTCATGTCATTTAAACTGAAGGGAAAATGTACAATTCACAATACAAAAATTCACTGTATCTGTGAATTTCTCTGACTATCAAATAGGGTAAAATATTTTAGAGTTTTTAATTAATAAGTTATTAGTCATGCAAATGAAATGTTAACATACATTAGTATGTATACAACAATTTCAAGAGAAAAATATCTTATATTAACAAACATCTCTGCTTCCTCGCCTCCCAATTTTATACTATTCTGACAGCTGAAAATGCAAATGACATGCAATATCTAAATCATGAAAGTCAAAGAATATAGTAAAAAAAAATCAGATTAAGATTATATATAAAGAAAATCAAACTTATGACAGCAAATATAGCCAACAGCCTTAGAATTGGAGAGATTCTTAAGTATTGAATATTCTTTTCATTTCTTTTCTGTTATAATCTGCCTTGAATATCCTCTCACAATGATGGCAAATAAACAAATTCTAATTAGCAATTGAGAAATATTCCCCAGACAAGCAACTTGGTAGAGTAACAGTAAGTTACTGTCTATACTTACACATGGTCACTCCCCTAGTCACTTCCCATCTTGATTATTGCAATGTGCAATCATCAGCCCTTGAAGAGCACCCAGAAGCTCCAATTGGTGCAAAATGCAGCGGCCCGCATGGTTTTGTGCAGACCTGTGTGTACATGTATCATCTCTCCTGCAGGAGCTGCACTGGTTGCCGATCTGCTTCTGGGTGCAATTCAAGGTGGTGGTTGTCATCTTTAAAGCCCTTCATGGTTTGGGATCAAGTTATCTCCAAGACCATCTCTTGCTGGTCACATCTAACCAACCACTAGAGCAGAGATGAAAGAAATGTTGCAGGTCCCATCCCCTAGAGATATATCTAGTGGGAGCCAGAAGGGCCTTCTCCATGGTAGCTCCCTCTCTCTGGAATATCATTCCCCCAGAGATTAGAATGGCCCCACTCTAACCCTCTTCCAGAAAGTGCTGAAGACCTGGTTCTGCCAGTGGGCCTGGGGAACTAAGAAGAACCCTTAGAAGTGAGCCCTATACTACTAAAAGAAATAGAAGAATATGGAAAGGTGACAGAGTTAAAAATTAACAGAGAAAAAACAAGTGTTAATAAAAAACTGTACAAAGGAGCAGAAGAACTAGCATATAAATTAGGTATGTAGGTGGCAAATAAAGTAAAATACCTAGGGATCTGATTGATTGCTAGATGTTCGTCGATTAAAAAGATAACTATGATAAGTTAATAATGCAAATAGTTAAAGATTTAGATAATTGGGTCAAATTGCAGTTATCGCTATTGGGACATATTTTGATAGTAAAAATGAACATTTTGCCAAAATTGTTGTTCTTGTTTCAAACAGTGCCAGTTAAGTAGGAAAAGAATTTTTCTGTAGAATTAAACAAATGTATCTCTAAATTTATATGGCAGAGGAAAAAACCCAGAGAGAAATATAATTACAGGATGCCAAGAAAAAGGGAGGATTTGGCCTTCCAGATTTTGAATTATATTATGATGCCACTATAGTAAACTGGCTTAAGGGTTGGGTTAAATTAGAAAATAGAAGGTTATTAGTATTAGAGGGTTTTGATCTCCAACTTGGCTGGCACGCCTTCATGTGGGATGGAAAATCTAAACAACATTCATATTTCCAAAGGCACCATGTAAGAAACCTATTGTTTAATATCTGGGGAAAGATTTTTAAAAAATACCATTATCCAAAGGTTCCATTGTGGATATCTACATTGGAAGCAGTTACACATCCAAATGTATTGGATTATGAAAATATTGTTAAGTATAAAGATTTATTATATGACATTGGAGAGTTTAAAAATAGGAAGCAAATACAAATTCAAGGAAAGGAGATAGCATGGTGGCCCTTTGCATAAATACAAACCCAGTATAAAAATGATAGAAAACAATTTGGCTTTAATATGACTCCACAAGAATTAGATAAAATATGGCTAGGAGAGGAAAAGAAATCAATTAGTAAAACATATAAATATCTTTTGGACTACAAATTAAAAGAAGCAGTTACAGAATCCTATGATAATTTGGGCTAAAAATGTGGGTCATAGTATTGAATTTGATCAGTGGGAACACATTTGGCAAACAAATTACAAATTAACTATGTCAGTCTCATATAAAAAAAACTTATGTAAAATGGTTCATCACTGGCACCTACCTCCTGCGAGACTGGCTAAGATATTCCCTCACCCAATTGTTGGAAATGTAACTACGCACAAGGAACATATTTTCACATGTGGTAGACTTGCCCATGTGCTCAGAAATTTTGGAGAAATATTAGAAATTGGATTTTAAATATAACAAGACAAAATTTAAAACTTGAACCCGAAATCTTTCTGCTAAGTATGATAGATTCAAACATGGAGAAAAAATATCAATATTTAATTTTGCATATCATAACTGTAGCTAGAATAACCTACGCACAAAACTGGAAACTGTCTTCAGAGGATACGGTAATAAAAAAAATACATGAATGTGCTGAGATGGACAGCCTAACCAAACTGACTGATAGTGACTACTATGAAATATGCAACATTTGGTATGAGTGGTTAAAGAAAAGATAATATTTGATATTTGGATAAGTTATGGAAATGACAGAAGACGTGCATTTAATCACAAACTATATAGATAAATTAAAACATTAAAAGAACGAGGGAGTTATGGTAACAAGGCAGATCACGTCAATGATAAAGAAAAAAAACGTAACCATTGCTCAATATATGCTGTAAAATCTATATATGTGTATGTATGTGTGTGTGTATGTTTGTGTGTGTGTATGCATGTATGTATGTATGTATGTATGTATGTATATGTATATGTGTATGTATGTATGTATGTATGTATGTATGTATGTTATTCAGCTTTGTTCGGGTATTTTCCCACATCATTGTGGTTGTGCTTTTAAAGTTGTAGCAATGTTTCGGCAGAATCTCATCTGCCATCATCAGGCTTCTGTATTGTGTCTGTCAGAGATTCTGCCGAAACGTTGCTACAACTTTAAAAGCACAACCATAATGACATGGGAAAATACCCGAACAAAGCTGAATACCATACATGTAAGTACCCGCGAAAACTTTATACACACACATATATATATATTCGTAAATTTTCATGGGTAC